ACTCCGTGGGCACCCAGGACCTGGTGAGGTTGGCGTCTGTCCCCACTGTGTCCCCGTGAGCCTCCTTCCACGAGAAGCTCACATCGTCCCCTGCGTCCTCGGGCAGGACACAGACCAGGTGCAGCTCGCAGGTGCCGTTCTCCAAGCGCTGGACAGAATGGGCCACGTTGAGGGTCTGCAGCCGGCCTGGTGCAGAGATGGCCAAAGGTAGGCGTTCGCCCTGCGCCCCTGCCAGCCTGCTCAGCCTCCCACAGCTGTCAGGAGTTCTGACCAGCCTGCGTCCGTCATGTGACTGACTACAGCTGGGATGCATGGCCAGATACAGTCCAAACAGTGCTCAGGGAGCAGTTAGTGGTGAAGAAGGACCGACCTCAGGGTCCCTCCACTAAGTGGGTTCTTGGGGGCTACCCACACTGCCTCTCCAGGCTCACCTGGGGTCCTCTCTGCCCCTGGGGTGGTAAAGACCCTTGAGTGAGGTCAGTGCGGGTGGGTGGCCAAGGTTCATCTCTGTGGGCTTGGTATGGGCGGTGCGTGCCTGCAGGCATGTGGGAAAATGTGGCGCCCTCCCCCCGCCCCCCGCAACCGGGGCCCCCACTCACGGAAGACCCGCAGAGTGTAGTTGACCGACGTTGAACTAATCCCGTTATCTATTTTGGCCTGGTAGGACCCGGCGTCGGCCACCATCAGGGATTTGAGCAGCAAGGAGTAAGAGCTGTTGACAGTGAGGCGACTCTTCCGATTGGAAAACAAGATGACATTCAGTTTCCCATTATTGTCAGGGCTGATGGCCGCGATGGCCTCTTGCCCATGGTACCAGAAGACGGAGGAGACGTTTGCTGCTGTCAGAGTCAGGGGAAGCATCTGGGTTTCCCCCACAGCCCCATCCACGACCAGCGGGGCTGGGCTGCTTGCAGGAACCGAGCTCCCTGTGGGCAGACGGAAACAGCCGTGGCCTTGTGTGCTGACCGTGGCCGGACTATTACCCCGCCCCCCAGAGAAATGAGGGCCGGAGGGCACCCAGCAAGGTGCCCCCTACAAAATGTGTGGCAGGGACTGGGACTCTGAGAAGGTCTGCTTGGGGCATCAGACCCTCAAGAGACAGAGCCTGAATATCTTTCTGTTTGTTTGGCTTTTTGGGTCACACTGGCGATGCTCAAGGCTGACTCCTGGCTCTGCGCTCAGCAATTACTCCTGGCGGTGCTTGGGGGACCCTATGGGATGCTGGGGATTGAACCCGGGTCCGCCGCATGCCAGGGAAACGCCCTTCCGGCTGTGCTCTGTATCCCTCTGGCCCAGGTCATTAACATGCTGTGTAAATTCTGGACTTAGCGAAAGTGATGAATGATGCAAAAGAGAATGAAACAATGTCAGGAATGCAACAATGTCAAGAATGCAAACACAGAGGCAAAGCAAGATTCAAATGTTGCGCACACAGCAAGGATGACAGACAGCAAAAAAGCAAAGGACACAATTGGTGGGAGTGAGACACAGTGGCAGAGAAGATTGGGCGGGAGTGAGACTCAGATCAAGGTTAATCAGAGAGTAATCATTATCAAAGTGGCCTAGGCAGATCCCTGGGGCTTAAAACCAGTTGTGTGTGTGTGTGTGTGTGTGTGTGTGTGTGTGTGTGTGTGTGAGGCTCCCTTTCTCGCTGTGTTCTCTGGGGCTTAAAACCAGTGTGTGTGTGTGTGTGTGTGTATGTGTGTATAGATCCCCTTTCTCGCTGTGTTCTCTGGGGCTTATTACCAGTGTGTGTGTGTGTGTGTGTGTGTGTGTGTGTGTGTGTGTGTATAGATCCCCTTTCTCGCTGTGTTCTCTAGGGCTTATACCAGTGTGTGTGTGTGTGTGTGTGTGTCTGTGTGTGTGTGTGATAGACTCCCTTTCTCGCTGTGTTCTCTGGGGCTTATTACCAGTGTGTGTGTGTGTGTGTGTGTGTGTGTGTGTGTGTGTGTGAGGCTCCCTTTCTCGCTGTGTTCTCTGGGGCTTAAAACCAGTGTGTGTGTGTGTGTGTGTGTGTGTATAGATCCCCTTTCTCGCTGTGTTCTCTAGGGCTTATACCAGTGTGTGTGTGTGTCTGTGTGTGTGTGTCTGTGTGTGTGTGTGTGTGATAGACTCCCTTTCTCGCTGAGTTCTCTGGGGCTTATTACCAGTGTGTGTGTGTGTGTGTGTGTGTGTGTGTGTGTGTGTGTGTAATAGACCCCCTTTCTCGCTGTGTTCCCTGAAGTGTGGCTGTTTGGTACCAAGGCCAGAACTCGGACCACACATTGGAGAGAAGGGCTTGGTAGGAAGACCCCCGCCTCATCCTCTCTGACCAGCAGAGACGCTCCTGAGTGTGAGTCCGTGGAGTGGCTGACCCAGGGTCCCCCAGACCTGGCGCCCACTTAGACAAGGAGACGCCTTCCCAGCCATCCCGGAGACCCCACACCTGGGCAGACAGACAGGTGGACAGTCCCCGGCGGCACCCCGGCACCAGGCAGACAGATGGAGGGACAGCCCACCAGGCCCCCGGCGGCAATTACCTGACCCCGGGTAGATGAAGAGGCAGAGCAGCTGTAAGAGCGTTCGGAGCATGTCTAGGGTCCTGAACATCTGCGACTTGATCTTCACTTCCTCTGCCCCCCCCTTTTTTGACTCTTCCTGTTTGCAAAGGTGCACCCCGGCAGGGACTTTCTGGGTATGCAGGGGCAGCTCCCAGGGAGGCTCAGAAGGTCCGGGTGACTCTTGGCCCACTGGGCCCTGGGTCTGTGCAAGGACCTGAGGATGTGGGGTGTGTGGGCTTACCCGGCAGTGCTGGGGGCTTTTGGGGCTCCACCCAGGGGTGTCCGGGGAGAGCACCAGCAAAGCATCGCGCATGCGCCCTGGCACTGTGCCACCTCTGGCCCCCATAGCGGCTTTTCAAAGGGAATCGTCGCCGAGTCTAAACCTTCCTGTGTGGTTCTGTTTCTCTCCTCCGGGCCGGGGATGCCTCCCAGAGCCCGTCCTGGCTGCTGAGTGTCTGCTGCAAGGTCCGACTTCGCTCAGTGTTTTTGTGGTTAAGTTTATTCTCAGCGTGTGGGGCTGAGACTCAGGCCCTTTCTGAGGGAGGACAGGGACTGGGTGGGTGGGACATAGGCCCAGAGCCAACGTGAGGAGGAGGGGCCAGCCTGAGGGCTGAGTCCAGGGGGCATGGGTGAGTGTGTGTGTGGGGGGTCCTGGCAGAGGGCGTTTGCCCCCCCTGAGGACACTCAGTTGTGCTGAGTGCATGGACATGGGCTCCCCTGGCCTTTCAGAATTTCCCTGGGTGGGGCCCCGGGTGGACAGGAAGTTCTGAGTCAGGCTGAGGTCTCCCAATGGGGGAGGTGGGCATGAGTCGGGGGCAGGAGGGACAGTGTCCACTGGACAGCAGTGCAGAGACACAAGAGCACCCTCGGAGGGAGTCCCCAAGCCTGCTTGCTCTCCAGCAGGGCCGTGGGGCCAGGTGGGGGCCAGGTGTGGCCTCAGATGTGGGAGCGTTTGCCCAGCAGAGCGGCAGGGGGCTGGGGGCCCAGCTTGAACCCTGGGTAGGGTGATGCCAGGCAGTGTCTGTGATTTCTCCCCACTTCCTTCAGGGAGGGGAACTCCCCTCCCCCTGCTCTCAGTTGCCCTGAGTACTGGAACAGCTGGTCACGCCTGCAGAATGGAGGAACGGGCAGGGGTGCGTCCACTCACTGACGCTATGTAGAGACAGACAGACAGACAGGGCAATGTCGGGTGTCAGTAACCATAACAGACAGTAACAATGCAGGTACGAGGCCCCCAAGTCCCGGGGGCTGCAGTGGGCAAGTCTGACCCCCAAGTTACTGGAAGGCTGAGAAACACGAAACTCAAGTGGAAATCCAGCCTCTGTCCAGACCCGCAGAGGCCTCCCTGCAGTGAGGAACCAGTGCAGCCTTTTTTTTGGTTCTTTTTGGCTCACTCCTAGCAGTACTCAGGGCTTCCTCCTGGCTCTGCACCCAGGAATCACTCCTGGCGGTGCTCGGGGCACCCTAGGGGATGCTGGGAATCGAACCTGGGTTGGCCGCGTGCAAGGCAAACGCCTTCCTTGATGTATTATTGCTCCAGTCCTTGTATCACCTTTTAAACACCACGATACTTTGTATCACCCATTAAACACTATGATACTTTGTATCACCTTCAAAACACTATGACACTTTGTATCACTTTGTCTTTTTTTTTCCTTTTTGGGTCATACCCTGAGATGCACAAGGGCTACTCCTGGCTCTGCGCCCAGGAATCACTCCTGGCGGTGCTCGGGGCACCCTAGGGGATGCTGGGAATCGAACCCGGGTTGGCTGCGTGCAAGGCAAATGCCCTCCCCGCCGTGCTATCGCTCCAGCCTTTTGTTCATTCACTTTTGGTGGGTTTGCTGATGCCGGCCCCTCCGGTGGAGTGCCGGTGTACATGCAGGTGCAGGTAATCATATACACGTGTGTGTACCCGTGTGTGCACACACATCTGTGTACGCACGCACAGGCATACATGCACATGCATGTTTATGTGCGTGCGCTGGGTCTACATTTGCAGGTGCTGTGTACACAGGCATGCACGGGAGCACTTGTGTGAGTATATAGGCCGTACATGTGAGCACACATGTGTGAATCTGCTTTACTCGGTCCAACGCAAAGGCCAAGCTTACCTAGATCATCTCTCCTGAGTGGCGGGCACTGGGCACTGGCCAGCAAAGGGGCAGAGAAATCCGCTCAGTGGGGTGGAGGCATGCTAGCACCTCTGAGGCTTTGGGGGGCAGAGAAGCCCCCTGGGGGTCAGTGTGTGCCCAGCCAGTGCCTTGCCCTGATGGCCTCTAGGGGACAGTCGTGACAGGGCTGGTGGAGCCGGGTGCACCCACATGGAAGACCCCATTCGGAGGCCACTGGGAACTGCAGTCCCAGGCCAGGTCTCGGAGAGTCCAACTGGCCACTCACATGGGCCTACGTGGGGTCTGGATGCTCTCGTCCAGACAGGAGGGGGTCTCAGCGCTTCTCAGTATAGCACCTGGGAGGGAGTCTGTGTCCTTCCCCGTCACTCTCTGGGGACACCAGTGGAGGGTCTTGCCAGGCTGTACAGCAGGGGCACGACGGAGGGGCCGCAGTGACCAGGCGTGCTCTGGGCTCCTGCAGAATCTGTGTCTGTGTCCCTCCGACTGTCCGGCTGTCCCCAGCCTAGACCACGTTGGCATAGTTGGACATCCCCGAGGCTCTGCCCTCTGGGGGGCTTCCTGGCCGCATCTGTGCACATGAGGGAGAGGGAGGGCGTGTTATTACCAGCAGGAAGCCAGGGCCCCAGGACCTTGAGGGCGCCTGGAACAGCGTTGGGGGCCTGGTGCCTGGTGGCCAGGCTTTCCCCCTCCTGGGTCCCTCCCCCACCCAGCCCAGCTGGCACAGGAAACAGAAAGGTAGTGTGTGTGTTTGGAGCTCAGCTGCGGGTGGTTTTTGGTTTTTTGCTTTTTTGGGGTCACACGCAGCGATGCACAGGGCTTACTCCTGGCTCATGCATTCAGGAATTACTCCTGGCGGTGCTCAGGATATGGGATGCTGGGAATCGAACCCGGGTCAGTCGTGTGCAAGGCAGATGCCCTACCCGCTGTGCTATCGCTCCAGCCCCTCGGCCAAAGGTTTAGTCCTAGGAGGTTCCGTTCCTGGCTGACCCCCTTCAGGCATAGGACATTAGGGCCCCCCCAGATCTGAACGAAGGGTGGGCAGACTTCTCCCAGAACCTCAGAGCAGGGTGTCTGAGGCAGGGAAATTCACGTGGCCTCGCGGGAATGCAGGACACCCTGCAGAAATCATCGCTCCTCATTCCCCTGGGCCCGAGCTCAGGATTGATGCCCGGTCTCTCCCTTCACGCAGGACACAGAGGTGCCATCCTGTGGCCGTTTCCTGCCTGCCACGAGACAGCACTAAGCGTCCCTCCCAGCGGGCCCCAGAGCAGGACATGGAGGCACAGGACATGAGTGTCCCCAGGCAGTGAGAAGTGGATGAAGTGTCAGCCCCCTCCCCCGCCCCCAGGTGTCTGTCGTGCGTGGGCAGTGAGGGTCCAGCGGTCACACTGAGGTAGAAGCAGCTGGAGGCGGTGGGGTTCACACTGGGGTTAGCGCCTGGAGGTGGAGGGCTCAGGGGTCCCACCATGGGTATGTGCACACAGGCGGTACCCAGACACCAGAGCTTGGGCGCTGGGTCCTGAGACGTGAAGGGCCAGGGGGCAGCAGGAATATCACCTTATCTGAGTACTGCACCAGGGAGTAAATCCTTAGCTCCTCCTTGGGGGGCACCACCTGCAAAACACCCGCCTGCCAGGTGAGGGGGGCGTATCCCTGCCCATGGATCAAGCCCCGCCTTCTGCACCTGCAGGCTCCACCCACCGCTCCCGGCCACGGAAGCCCCGCCCACTTCAAAATAGCCCCGCCCACTCGACCTAGCCACACCCCCCCACACATGGCCCTGCCCGGCCTCCCCCATGGGTGCCTGAGCAAAGGGTCCCCGGTGCTGTGCGTGGCCCTTAGCTCCTGTGTACGTGTCAGGGACCCCCTTCCTAAACAGGGGACCCCCCAGGACCTCCCCTCTCCTGGCTCTGAGACTCCCAAGCCCCAGAGCCTGGGATCTAAAGGCTGCCAGGGGTTCGGAAGGCAGGTCCAGCTCCTAGAGGGACTCCCGGCCGTCCAGGCCACTCACCTTAGATGCGGGAATGTCGTCGTAGACCCGAGCGTCCGCCGGCTGGGACACAGTGACTTGTTTGTACAGTGTTTTCTCTGAGCTGGTGTCTGGATGGGAGAGAAATAGTGGAGTCCGGAAGAGTCCCCCTCCTCCTGCCCCCCAGCCAGGCCCAAGCTCCCCTCCGAGGGCGGCACTGGAGGGGCTGCCGGCCCCCAGGTACCTTGGGGCGGACGCTGGCGCTGTGTCTTGTGTCGCAGGAGTAGCAGGACGCCTACCAGCAGCAGGACAAGCAGCAGGGCGACGGGCCCCGTTGCCGCCAACACCCAGGACCGGCAGTGCTCACACCGCGGCACTGTGTCTGGGTGGACAGAGGCTGCGGTGAGGGGCTGTGCCTTAGGGCGGGCTCTCCCCCGGGGCCAGCAGGGGGCTGGGGACACGGCCGGATCAGAGGACAACCCCCCTCCCCGCCTGCTTTGCACCCGTCAGTCAGAGAGCTTCTGGGGGGTCCCAGGGAGAAACTGGGCTGACTCATGCCTGGCTCTCTCTGCAACAGGACGGTTGGCTGGGGTTGGGAGGGGCTCTGTGTGTGTGTGTGTGTGTGTGTGTGTGTGTGTGTGTGTGTGTTCAGGGGCTCTTGGAGATCTGTGATCATCTGTACGTAGGGGTTCCATGTGTGTAAGTGTGAGTGTGAGTGTGTGTGTGTGTGTTTGGGGGCTCTTGGGGATCTGTGATCACATGTATCATAGGGGTTCCATGTGTGTGAGTGTGTGTGTGTTTAGGGGGTTTTGGGGATCTGTGATCACCTGTATGTAGGGGCTTCGTGTGTGTGTGTGTGTGTGTGTGTGTGTGTATTTGGGAGCTCTTGGGGATCTGTGATTACCTGTTCAGAGGGGCTTTGTGGATGTGTGTGTGTGTCGGATGCTGGGACTCCGTGATAACCTGTACATAGGGGTTCCATGGTGTGTGTGTGTGTGTGTGTGTGTGTGTGTGTATGTGTGTGTTTGGGGGCTCTTGGGGACCTGTGATCACCTGTTCATAGGGGCTCTGTGTATGCGCGTGTGTGTGTGTGTGTGTGTCTGCGGGATGCTGAGGCTCCATGATCACCTGTACATAGGGACTCTGTGTGTGTGTGTGTGTATGTGTGTGTGTGTGTTGGATGCTGGAACTCCGTGATAACCTATACATAGGGGTCCCATGGTGTGTGTGTGTGTGTGTGTGTGTGTATGTGTGTTTGGGGGCTCTTGGGGATCTGTGATCACCTGTACGTAGAAGTTCCAGGTGTGTGAGTGTGTGTGTGTGTGTGTGTGTGTGTGTGTGTGATGCTGGGGCTCCATGGTAACCTGTACAAAGGGGTCCCATGGTGTGTGTGTGTGTGTTTGGGGGCTCTTGGGGATCTGTGATCACCTGTACGTAGGGGTTCCATGTGTGTGAGTGTATGTGTGTGTGTGTGTGTGTGTCTGCGGGACTCTCAGGCTCCATGATCACCTGTACATAGGGGCTCTGTGTGTGTGTGTGCGTAGGGACACTGAGGCTCCGTGATCACCTGTACACAGCAACTCAGCGTCCACAGAGGCGTTGCTGCGGCTGACCGGGTTCCATGCAGTGCAGGTGACAGCCCCCTTGTGGCCCCCAGGGCCCTGGGAGAGGTAGAGGACGGGCCCTGCCCCAGGGGGTGTCCAGCTGAAGGTCACGTTCTCGCTTTCCTCCACCCGGCATGTCAGGGTGACGTTGCAGGTGCCGTTCTCGGTGGGTGTCACGCTCCGCGTGATTGTGACTGTCCCCAGACGGCCTGGGGAGGGGGGAAGGGATGGGACAGCGTGAACCGTCCCTGAGAATGCTGCTTTCTGGAATGTTCTAGAACAGCCCAGAACCCGGCCCCGGACTCACTGTACACATGCAGGCTGAAGCGCCGTGTCTCTGTCTTTTCCCCATGCTCCGTGTTGATGTTGGCTGTGTAGACCCTCGAGTCTTCCGCCCTCAGATGGCTGATGACCAGGTCGTAGTTGTCCCTTGAGACGTTAAGTCGGCCATAATAATCCTGGTGAGTCACAGAAAGCTGGGGTGCGTCGCTGGGTCTTGGTTGTACAAAAGCAACAGACATATCTGGGGAAGACCAAGCAATGTTCTCCACATCCTGTGGGTTTTTGATCTTCAGCGGAAGAGTCACTGACTCACCCAGAATCCCGTTCACCGTGGTGATGGCCGAGTTCTTTCCAGAAGCTTCCAGCCCTGAGGACACAGAAATCAGACTTTCCGAGAAACCCCGACCCCCCTACCCCCGTCCCGAGGAGCTGCCACAGATGAGGCTGGTGTCCGTAAGGTGCCAGCAGCTCTTTCTATCTTAGATGCTTGGATTGGTTTGTTTTGGGGAGACAGCTTGCCCGGGGGACCCCAGGGCAGGGGCTGAATCTGGGGTCTCTGTGTGCCCGGTAAGTGCTTTAATGCACCGGCCCTCTGGCCCACAGCACCTTATTTTAACCAGTGAGTCTGGAGAACAAGCACCTTGTTTTATTTATTTATTTATTTTGCTTTTTGGGTCTCACCTGGTGATGCACAGGAGTTACTCCGGGCGGTGCTCAGGGGACCACGTGGGACGCGGGGAATCGAACCTGGGTCGCCCTACCTGCTGTGCTATCTCTCCAGCCCCAACACCTTGTTTTATTTTTCATTTTTGTGTTGGGTGCCACACCTGGTGGTGCTCGGGGCTGACTCCTGGCTCTGCACTCAGGAATCACTCCTGGCAGGCTTGAGGTACCTATCGTAGGGAATGCCGGGGATCGCACCCAGGTCAGCCTTGTGCAAGGCAAGAATGTGTCTGTAGCTGGGACGCCGTGGGGGGAGGGTCAGGCAGGGCACTCCCAGCACCCAGACAGCACCCAAGGGGCCCGGAGTGGGCTGGACAGGCTGGTCTGGTCCCAGGACCAGCCCGGGAAGAGGCTCTCTGGGGCCGAGGGGGCAGCTTCACCCCCCGCATCACCTCCACAACTCGAAGACTGACTGGACCATCTGGCCAACCAGAGGCAGGGCCCATTGCCAAGCCTCCCGCGTCACCTCCTGCTTGTCGGGGAACTGGGGGGACAGCAGGGAGCCTTCAGAGAGCAGGAGGGAGCCGGGTGGGGTCCCAGGGCTGCAGAGTCAGAAGACGGACCAGGAAGGGAAGTTCCAGGCTACGCGCATGCCTCTGCCGGCTCATCTCTGCTCAGGGGGGAAGCGCTTGGGCCTGCCTCTCTACCACACGCACAAGGCTCACACAGAGGCACACACATGCACACACATGCACACACGTGTGCACACATAGAGGCTCATGCATACACACTCGCGCACAGATGTGCACACATAGAGGCATACAGAGGCACAGGCCTGTACATGCCTGCACACACATGTGCACACAGAGTCACATGCATGCACATGCATGCACATGCACACACGTACACACGTGCACACACAGAGGCACACACACATGTACACACATAGAGGCTCATGCATACACACGTGCACAGATGTGCACACATAGAGGCACACAGAGGCACAGGCCCGCACATGCCTGCACACACATGTGCACACACAGAGTCACATGCATGCACATGCACACACGTACACATGTGCACACACAGAGGCACACACACATGTACACACATGTGCACACATAGAGGCACACAGAGGCGTATGCCTGCGCATGCCTGCACACACATGTGCACACACAGAGACACATGCATACACAATACACACAGATGTGCACACATAGAGGCACACAGAGACATGTGCCTGTACATGCCTGCACACACATGTGCGTACACAGAGACACATGCATACACAATACACACAGATGTGCACACATGGAGGCTCATGCATACACACGTGCACACAGATGTGCACACATAGAGGCACACACAGGCACATGCCTGTACATGCCTGCACACGTGTGCACACACAGAGTCACATGCATGCACATGCATGCACATGCACACACGTACACACGTGCACACAGAGAGACACACACATGTACACACATGTGCACACACAGCGTCACATACATGCACATGCATGCACACATAGAGGCACACACATGTACACACATGTACACACATAGAGGCACATGCATACACATATGCCCACAGATGAGCACACACATGCACATGCATGCACACACCAGCACATACACACAGTACTCACACACACACAGACACACACACACAGATCCCCGAAGGGCTGCAGAAACAGAGGTAGGAGCAGAGCAGAGGCGGAGGCCTGGGACGAGGGAGGCAGCGCCTTCCAGGACACAGGTCGAACCGGAGAGAGAGCACAGGACTGTGAGTCTCGGCCTGTGGGGGAGCCCCTCCCCCCGCCACACTCATCTGCTCCCCCGACGCCTGACTTCAGCGTCTCGGGAAAACGGGAAGTTCTGACTTCCTTTCCCCGCAGCATCCTGCTCTGGCCACACCAAGCCCCTGCCCGGTTTGGGGGCCAGACCCTGCGGTGCTCAGGGGTCCCCTCTGGCTCTGCACCCAAGGATCGCCCCTGTGGGGCTCAGGGGACCCTACGGGATGCCAGGGATTGGAGCTGGGTCGGCTGCGTGCAAGGCAAACGCCCTCTCTGCTGTGCCCTTGCTCCAGCCCCGTGGACCTGCATAGTGATCTAAAGCAAGGGCAGGGGTCAGTGCAGACCCCTGTGTGGGAGGCTGAAGACAGGGGCTAGGCAGTGGCAGGAGGGAGCCTGGTCTATTTGGGTCTGGGCTTCCCCTCGTTCATGGGTCCTTGAGAAGACGAATCACCCCCATTCCACATGGAACATTCCAGAGCCCAGCCATGTCTTGGCCCTTTGGCTCAGATCAAACAGAGCATCCAGAATCCAGACCTTCACATACCCTCCCTCACTCCCTTTCTCTTCTGTCACCCCAAACAGCCGACTCAGCCACCATGTCTGAGTAGCACCTGGCCCCAAAATCACGTGACTGGCTGGCTGCCGACACTTTGGGGGCTGGCCCGTGGACTCAAGCCCAGCGTGGGGGCAAAGCCTGTGTGGGTTCTGGGGGCAGAGGATGAGGCTGGCGGGACCCCAAGCTGCCTCTTCCCTTTGCAAGGACAAAGAGCACTGACCGTAAAACATCCTCCCAGCCTGCTGGCTTTTTTCCTTTTTGGGTCACACCTGCCAATGCACAGGGGTTACTTCTTGCTTCATGTACTCAGGAATTACTCCTGGCGGTGCTCTGGGGACCCTATGGGATGCTGGGAATCGAACCTGGGTCGGCCGCATGCAAGGCGGACGCCCTCCCCGCTGTGCTATTGCTCCAGCCCTGGTGAAACTTAGTTTGTGAAACAGGATGGAGCTCTCTTCACGTTTGCTTTCCACAGTTGGATGGGGCAAGGGCTGAGAAAGGGCTGAGGAAGAATGGACAAAGAAAAGAAAAGAAAAGAAATGTCCTCCCGTTGTTCATCGATTTGCTCGAGCGAGCCCAGCAACGTCTCCATTGTGAGACTTCCTGTTACTGTGTTTGGCATATTGAATACTCTCGGTAGCTTGCCAGGCTCTTCGAGAGGGGCGGAGGAATCGAACCCGACTCAGCCAGGCTGGCTGTGTGCAAGGCAAACGCCCTACCGCTGTGCTATCACTCCAGCCCCCCCAAAACCCAAAAATGCAAAAACGAAAAAAAAAAAACAACAGAGACGAAAGCGCTGAAGTCAAAGAACCAGCTGGTGTTCTCTCCAGCCTCTTCCCCCTGGCCCTCCCCTGGCCAGAGACCCTGAGTGGTTCCCTCCAGACTGGCCACAGAGGCCACCCCTGGCCCCTCCGACAGGCAGCTCCCATGCTCCCTCAAACCCGGGGTTGGTCGGACTCACAGGGGCAGAGGCCAAGCAGCAAGATCCACACGGGCAGCCGAGCCATGCCTGGAGGGTCCCTGGATCCGTCGCTGTGTCCACTTGCACATGTGGGCGGCTTGCTATTTTTATAGCGAGCAGAGAGGAAGTGTGATTGGCTGACTCCCTCCCTCCCCTTACTGTGTAGATCACAGCCACTCATGCCAAGAGACATGCAGAACGCGGCCAGCCAGTTCCGTTAAGAAAGAGGCATGCAGAATCTGGAAAAAACCTGAGTGTCCGAGAACAGATGACTGGCTAAAGAAATTTTGGTACATCTACACAATGGAGTACTATGCAGCTGTTAGAAAAGACGAAGTCATGACATTTACATACAAGTGGTACTCCATGGAAAGTATCATGCTAAGCGAAATGAGTCAGAAAGAGAGGGACAGATTGCATTCATCTGGGGAACATAAAGTAACAAAATAGGAGACTAATAGCCAAGAATAGTCGAGATCAGTACCAGGTGGATTACTCCATGGCTTACAGGCCAGCCGGGCATGCTAGGGGAAAGGGCAGCTCAGATAGAGAAGGGAGCATCAAATAAAGGGTGTTTGGAGGATCCTCTCAGGATGGGAGATGCATGTTGAAAGTAGACTATGGATCGAACATGATTGCCACTCAATGCTTCTTTTGCAGACCACAGCACCCAAAAGGAGAGAGAAAACAAAAGGGAATGCCCTGCCACAGAGGCAGGGTGGGATGGGGGGGATGGGGGTGGGAGGGATACTGGGATCTGTGGTGGTGGAAAATGGGCACTGGTGGAGGGATGGATGTTTGATCATTGTATAATCGAAACCCAAGCACAAAAATTTGTAAGTCTACAACTGTACCTCATGGTGTTTCACTAATAAAAATTAAAAAAAAAAAGAGGCATGGGGGCTGGAGAGATGGTACAGTGGGGAGGGCGTTTGCCTTGCACGCGGCCGACCTGGGTTTGATTCCCAGCATCCCATAGGGTCTCCCAAGCACCGCCAGGAGTGATTCCTGAGTGCAGAACCAGGAGTCAGCCCTGAGCATCGTGGGTATGGCCCAAAAAGAAAAAAATATAGAAAGAGGTATTCCCAGGAGGAGGCAGGGGTGCACGGATGTGGATGTGTGTGCCAGGGTCTTATCTGTTTCTTGCTGTTCATCGGAGCCCGAGCTAATCACTGGTCTAACAGTTCCTGGCTCTGCCCCTTAATGCTCCCCACCGGGCGTTGATGTGTGGGGTGGGGCCTCCGGGTCCCCCTTCCACAGAGGGCATGTCCTTCAGGAACCGGCAGGAAGCAGCAGCTTCCAGAGAGGCCGTCATGGTCGCGGCAGAGGAACTGCAGGCGCTTGGGGGAGTCAACCTTCCCGGGGATGGGCAGACTGAGGGAACCGATAAGCAAGCAAGGAAGATGCAACGGGAAGCCAGAGGCAGTGGGTGCTGGCAGCGGGAGGACGTGGGGGCCCCGATAGGGCTGTGGTGTGGGTTCTAGGCCCAGGGTCAGCTCACAGCTGCAGGGAGGGGGCTGGTGGGACCTTCACTCACACTGCCTGCATGGGTCGCTACAACGAACACGATGGTTGACGTGTGCCTCCGTGTTCACTAGAGCTGACCCGAGCTGACAGAGACCTGATGGAGACCAGAGGCCCCAGGACGGAACGCCAGCCGGACCCCACAGCCCCGCCGTCCTAGAAGTTCCTCCCTGGTTTTCATGGACTCCAGCCCAGTTTTTGTTCATGCTCCCAGTTTTTATTAATATTCTAGCTTCTGGCTTTTGCCAGAAAATACACTCTTGTAGCTTATTTCATAGAATCCTATCAGTGTTTTTTCTCTTTTTTTTTTTCTCCTGGGGGTGGGGGGATCACTCCCTCCTGGTGCTGCAGGGTTCCAGGCCTGGAACATCACCCTGGCCGCTGTTGCGTGCTTCCATGGCAACAAGGTGTGTCCACCCACCTCCCGCGGGTCACTGAGAGAAGCCAGGCCACGGGCCCAGCTGACCACAACGGCGGCCAGCTGCTCCTTCCTCTTGCTGGACCTCAGTCCTCTGCCAAGGGACCGCACTGTGCTTCCAGCTGTTGCCTTTGGGGTCCAGTGGCCTGGGATGGCCTGTCTCAGGTCCATCAGCTCCTCCCGGGGACTCTGGGCTTCTGGGTCTTAGCTCTGTGTAGTGCCACGCTGGGTCCAGAAGGAAAGACACGCCCCCAGGGGCGGAGCCAGAAAAAGACACGCCCCTGGACAGCGTCCACACGAAGACACGCCCCCAATGGGCAGAGTCATATGTGGATATGCTCTGTCCATGGGCGGAGCAATGCGCGGACACGCCCCAGGGGCGGAGCCAGAAAAGACACGCCCCCGGGACGGAGTCCACACGAAGACACGCCCCCCAATGGGCGGAGCCATGCGTGGACACGCCCCAGGGCGGAGCTATATGCAAACATGCTCCCGTGGGCAGAGCTAATGTGGACACACTCAGGGGCGGGGCCACGTGTAGACACGCCCCGTGGGCGGAGCCATACGCGGACACACCCAGGGGGCGGAGTCATATGTGGATACGCTCTGTCCATGGGCGGAGCAATGCGCGGACACGCCCCAGGGGCGGAGCCAGCACGAGGACACGCCAGTGGGCGGGGCCTGGAGGGGCCAGGTGTGGCATCCCCTGCCCCAGTGCCACCGTCTGCGTTGGTCTGGGCTCCTGCCGGTCTCTGCCGGGAGCCCCCAGCTGCGTCCGGCGCTGTCAGCTCTCAGCAGTGACTGTGTTGTAGCTGGGTCCTGGCAGGCAACAAGCGGGGACTGGCACGGGCTGCACAGGTGCAAAGGGAAGCAGGTCAGGGAGGAGCTGGAGATCCGAGTGCCCCTGCCCTCCGCCTGACTCCTTCCTTCAGCCCTCTTCCCCGCACCCCTGCACCCCTGCACCCTCGCATCCCTGCACCCCTGCACCCCTGCACCCCGGCAGAGGGACAACGAAGCCTCACCTGGGCAGACTCAGAGGCGGGCACTGAAGCTGCCACGTAGATGGTGGTACAGGGGTCCTCCTGGGGCTCCGGGTTGGCCCCTGTCCTGTGCAGCGACTGCAGGAAAAGCCAGGGGGACGTGAGCCCCACCCTTCCCTGCCTGCTCGACCCCCTTTCTGTGCTCCCCCCAGTGAAGCTGCTTCGAGAGGCGGGACCAGCAAAGTCCCAAAGGCTGCTGAGGATAAAGACGAGTCAGGAATTTTGCTTTTCCCTCCCAGGGAAAAAGAAGTCAGGGGTGGACACATGCACACACACACACACACACACACACGCACACACACGCACACATACACACACAGAGCACTTCGGGGCTTCTGCGTCACACAGGAAAAAAGAAGGGTGCTCGGGCGTGGGGTGGCGCAGGCTCCCTTGGAGCCTGGTCATCCATCACCGAGGGGACAGCAGATGAGGGGCAGCCCAGAGGTTGCAAAGAAACCAAGACCTCAGCAGGGCTGGCTATGTAATGAAGCTGACCGGCCACCAGGTGGCAGCAGAGACCTACGTTTTTCTCTTTCTTGGCTCCAAAAGGCCCCTTGTACACCTTTGGGTGCCAGCCCGCCACAGCTGCAGGGCAGGAGGTTGCAAAGGAACTGGGAGCTCCTATCTCACGGATATTCAATTTAGAAAGTAACGTGGGGTTCATGCCCCATTCAATCAGCTTAATCAATGGCTGAATTAAATACCAGTACTTCTACATTAATAGATGTATATATGAAAGTTCACAACGCCCAACCTTTAACAACATGTTAGTGATGTCTTTTTTTTTAAATAATGTAGCAGTACCGCTACTTATTCAGACATTGATTAACTTAGTGATATCTTAAAGAAGGTCTTAATAGAGGGTTGGAGTGATAGCACAGCTATAAGGCGTTTGGCTGACCCGGGTTCGATTCCCAGCATCCCATATGGTCCTCTGAGTACCACCAGGAGTAATTCCTGAGTGCAGAGCCAGGAGTAACCCCTGTGCATCACCAGGTGTGAACCAAAAAGAGCAAAAAAAGAAAAAAAGAAGGTCTTAAAAGCCCCAGCCAAAATAGAACAAAATTCATATTCTTTCTCTATGGATACTTTTTCGTAGCATTTTTTAGTGTTTTTTTTTTAATAACAAACAATACAATTTTATGATTTTGGTTCTGCTTTGGGACAGGGCTTGGGGCTTGAGATGGAAACATCCCAAATATGTTGGTGGGTGGGAAGGTGTCATGGTGGTGAGATAGGTGTTTGAATATCAAATGTAATCAAATATTGTGAACTCCCTTATAAAAATAACAAAATTAAAAAAAAAAAGGGATCTCAGCAGGGCCGACTGTGTAATGAACATTATCGGCCACCAGGTGGCAGCAGAGACCTACGTTTTTCTCTCCTGGGCGCCACAAGGCCGCTTGTTTACAAGGTTTTAATTTACCGTTTTATGCATCACGCCTTTGGGTGCCAACCCGCCACACCTGAAGGGCTGGACGCTGCCCCTTGCGTCCACACGGCCGAGACGCGGTGCTACCTTGGTACTTAGCCAAGTTCTGCAGACCTCTACCCTTCCCCTTTCTCAGTGTCCTCCTGGGAAGGTTCTGGTCCAGCTCATCACAGCCACCCCTGCATCCCTGGGTTGTATACGGGAAGCCGTATAGAAAGCAGGACCCGCCGTGGATTCTAGGAACCGGCAGGCACGCCCGTTCCTGCTCTGCCTCTCGGTTCCCCTTGCTGCCCCGAGGCAGGGGAGCGGTCAGTCACCCCACACTGGACAGTGCCCCACCCCGGACTTACACCTGCTCTCTGCACTTGCGCGTAAATAGTGAGGCCGGGGGTTTTCTCGGCTGGCTGACTCGGTTCCGCTTTACCTGGGAGGGGGACACAGTGAGGACCACAGGAGCGCCCCCCGCCCCCACACCCCAGCGCTTGCCAGAGCCGGCTGGACAGTAGCCATCCTCCAGGCCACCCTCCCCAAATGGCCACCACTGGACATGGGCCACTGCTGCCCGTAACAGCTTCCTGCTGTGCACTGGGACTGGCTGCATCTCTGTGGACGCTGCTAGACTCAAGGGAGGGGGGGCTTGGCTCATCTGTGGGTTCCCCCGGGGTCCACCCTGCATGGGACTCAATGCCAGGGGCCACAGGCCACCCTGTGTCCTCCCCATCCTGGGATGGGGCAAGGAGGGCCTGAAAACTGGGCGCTGTCCCCCCCCCCGACACTGGCCATCGATGGCTGGTCTCAGGCCCTGCCCTGAATGGCATCAGGCGGCCAGACCTGCTTTCCTGCCCCTGGACGGACGGACAGACGGACGGAAGGGCGAGTGGCTGCACGCCTACCTCTCCTGGCCACCAGAGCCGCCAGCATGATGATGATGACCAGGAACAGAAGCAGAGGCAGCGTCATGTACAGACTCCACCATCTCGTCTCTGGGGGAGAAGCAGATTGGGGAGAAAGTGCGTGGACGGTCAGCGCTGGCTGGAGGGCAGAGGGGAGGCGGGCGGGGGCAAGTGAGGGGCTGTGAATAGTGGCCGGCCGGCCGGATGGATGGGCAGGAGGTGCCCGTCCAGCGTGCACGTACCTGGCGGCCTGCACAGGGGCCCGGGCAGGAAGGTCCGTGTCTGCCTGCTGACCGGGTTGCTGGCTGTGCAGACGTAGACGTGGTCAGTTTCTTGCGGGCCCAGCACCAGGTGCAGCATCTGGGAGCCGCTGGCCATCCCCAGCGGGGGCCCACTGGTGCCCAGGCTCCAGCTGTAGGTCACGTTGTCCCCCTGGGCGGCCAGGCAGGCCAGCGTCACGCTGCAATTCCCGTTGCCGTCATCCTGTGTGTGGTTCAGCACCCGGATCTCCGGGGCGGAGACCTGCTCTGTCAGGAGGGGGAGGGGTGGACACTGAGTCCCTCTCCCCGGGACACGGCGCCCCCTCCCGCCCCCCTCCGGCGGGCCCGCTGCCCATCTGCTCTCTCAGCTTCTGACATCAGGGTTCCAGACAAAATCCTCATCTGTTTGTGTTTCGGGGCCGCGCCTGGCGATGCTCGGGGCTGACTCCTGGCTCAGTGCTCAGGGGTCTCATTCTTGGTGGACTCAGGGGACCGTCGGGGGTCGCAGGGGTCAAATCTGAGTTGGCTGTGTGCAGGGCAAGAGCCATCCCACTGTACCATCGCTCCGCCCCGCCAAAGAAAATTTGCAAACGGGGGCTGCAGTATTTTCTAGAGGGGGGAGGTGAGGTCTGGGTGTGGCCTGTGACCCTCCATCTTCCTCCTTCTCCCATATAAATAGCCTCAGACGTGGGCCTTTGGGGGTATTTTTTTTAATTGAATCGCTGTGAGATGGACCCTTACAGAGCTGTTCCTGGTTGGGTGTCAGTCACACAGTGTCCAGCACCCGTCCCTCCACCAGGGCACATTCCCCAGCACCAGGGTCCCCAGGGTCCCTCCCGTCACCCCCACCCCCTGCCTGCCTCTATGCCAGGTGCTTCTCTCTCTCTCCCTCTCTCTCTCTCTCTCTCTCTCTCTAGTATGGTTTGCAATACAGATGCTGAAAGGTCATCAGGAATATCCCTTTTCCTCCTTTGAACCCTCAGCTCTTGTCCGGCGTGACCCTTCCCGGCTATTATTGTCACCCTGGTCCCTCCTTTGTCTGACCCGCCCTCCGCCCCTCACACACACTTGTGGTTGACTCCACAAGTCCTCTTAGCCCTTTGGGGGTGTTTACGTGGGAGGAGGAGGCACATGTCTCAGCGAGCACCTAGAATCCAGCATCCAACACCTAGTAGTCAGCACCCAGCAGTCAGCACCCAGCAGCCAGCACTCAGCACCCAGTACTCAAGTCTCAGCAGCCAGCACTCAGCGTCCAGCACCCCACATCCAAGTCTCAGCACCCAGAACCCAGCATTCAGCACCTAGGATTCAAGTCTCAGCACCCGGTACCCAGCACTCAGCACGCAGCACTCAAGTCTCAGCACCCAGCATCAGCACCCAGCACCCAGCACCCAAGTCTCAGCACCCAGAATCCAGCATTCAGCACCCAGAACCCACCACTCACACCCAGCACCTAGAACCCGGCACTCAGCACCTATCACTCAAATCTCAGCACCCAGCACCCAGCACTCAGCACCCAGCACTCAAGTCTCAGCACCCAGCACCCAAGATTCAGCACCCAGGACTCAAGTATCAGCACCCAGCACCCAGCACTCAGCACCCAGCATACAATTCTCAGCACCCAACACCCAGCATTCAGCACCCAGAACCCAGCATCCAGCACCCAGCACTCAAGTCTCAGCACCCAGCACCCAGAACTCAGCACCCAGAACCCAGCATCCAGCACCCAGCACTCAAGTCTCAGCACCCAGCACCCAGAACTCAGCACCCAGAACAACCCAGCACTCAGCACCCAGCACTCAAGTCTCAGCACCCAGGACTCAGCACCCAGCACCCAAGTCTCAGCACCCAGCACCAGGGGCCGCCAAGCCTTACCATAGAGCCGCAGGTGCCGGCAGAACTGCTCCACCGTGACGTTCCACTCGAGGCTCACCGAGTACCAGAGCTCGTCCTCCCTCTGGCTTTGCGGGATCTCCAGGCCCCAGGGGTCCCGCCGCAGCCGGTAACGGTGGCCCAGCGGGAGCTGGAAGGGCTCCTTGGGCAGGTACACGGACACCAGCTTGCGGCGCTCCATGCTGCCCGAGGAGTTGGTGGCCATGACCAGGACGTGGACGCTGGCGTTGCCGATGCTGCGGGTCCCTCCCTGGCTCAGGGGCAGCACCACGCTGGCCCCCAGCTGCCCCACGATCTCTGGGCAGTCGGAGGATGCCTGGCCTGCAGGGACGGGGGGACAGGAGTGAGCCGGGGCCCGGCTGCTGCCACGGCCTCCAGCGTGTCCTTCGCGTTCGAAAGTCCCCAGGAAGCCCGTGTTTGCTAGCTTGGCAGTGCCAGGGATGGGCCCGGGGCCTCCCACAGGCCCTCGCTGCAGCCTGGTCCCTCTGGACGGGCGGCCTGGCCATGCTCAGGTACTGACCCCTGAGCCTGGTGCAGGCGAACTGCGTGCCAGCACCCCACCCGTCTCCCCGGCGCCCCCGGTGGGAATTGGAGGGGCCTCACACCCAGCAAGACAGCAGCTTGGGGGAGAAGAGGGAACTCCCACTCGGAGCTCAGAGCTCGGGGTGGTTCCCACCCCAGGGCCAGGTCCTAGCGGAGTTCTGTCTCTGCAAAGACAGAACAGCAATAGCACAGCGGGGAGGGCGTTGGCCTGGCACGCGGCGGACCCGGGTTCGATCCCCGGCATCCCCTAGGGTCCCCCGAGCACCGCCAGGAGTGATTCCTGAGCGCAGAGCCAGGAGTAGCCCTTGTGCATCTCAGGGTGTGACCCAAAAAGGAAAAAAAAAAGACAAAGTGATACAAAGTGTCATAGTGTTTTGAAGGCGATACAAAGTATCATAGTGTTTAATGGGTGATACAAAGTATCATGGTGTTTAAAAGGTGATACAAGGGCTGGAGCCATAGCACAGCGGGGAGGGCGTTTGCCTGGCACGCAGCCGACCCGGGTTCGATCCCTGGCATCCCCTAGGGTCCCCCGAGCACCGCCAGGAGTGATTCCTGAGTGCAGAGCCAGGAGGAACCCCTGAGCATCGCCGGGTGGGACCCAAAAGCACTGTCCACTGTAGCACTGTCCACCCGTTGTTCATCGATTGGCTCGGGCGGGCACCAGTAACGTCTCCATGGTGAGACTTGTTACTGTGTTTGGCATGTCGAATATGTCACGGGGAGCTTGACAGGCTCTGCCGTGTGGGCAGGATGCTCTCGGTAGCTTGCCGGGCTCTCCGAGAGGGGCGGAGGAATCGAACCCGGGTCGGCCATGTGCAAGGCAAATGCCCTATCCGCTGTGCTATTGCTCCAGCTTCGGGACCGAGGCTGAGGAGATGGTGGGGGGCGGGGGTGAGGGGGGAAGGAGTGGGCGGGAACCTCCTTCCCGCGGTGAGCCCTGGGGAGAGCAGGAGGGTGAGAAAGGCGTTTCTCCACAGAGCTGCACCAGCAGAATCAGCTCCCAGCTCTGCTCTGAACTTTGTTTGAAACCCTGACAGGATTGGCGCTGACTCTTCAACACCTCAAACCCGCATCCTGGGCTGTGCCTCAGGTCCCCTCTCGTGTGGCGGGCCGGGGGCACCCCTGGGGGCTGGGGCCGCCTTCCGGGCACCCGCCCACCGCCAGCAGCTCCCCAAAGGCTGCTGGGCTGATTCAGGCATCTACGCTCACAACCCAGCATGCAGCCCCCCACTACGTCAGGAATTCAGCTCTGTTCTTTTTTTTTTCTTTCTGGGTCACACCCGGCGATGCTCAGGGGTTCCTCCTGGCTCTGCACTCAGGAATTACTCCTGGCGGTGCTCAGGGGACCATATAGGATGCCGGGGATCAAACCCGGATTAGCCCCGTGCAAGGCAAACGCCCTCCCCGCTGTGCTATCACTCCAGCCCCTCTGACACGCAATTCTTACAGGGACCTTCCACTTCCTCCCTCTGCAGGGAGCCCCAAGACTCGGGCTGTCTTGCCTCCTTTTCCTCTCACTGCCTCAGTTTCCCCGCCAGAAAGGAAGCAGCTGTTCTGGGTGAGCAGGTGGCAGAGGAATCCCCACCCCCCCTCGCCTGGTGGCCCCAGCCAAGGTGCCCCTGTGGGGGCCATCAGAGGCACCTGACACCCCCCCACTCCTGAGCACCAAGCGGAAACCTTGACGGCCTTCAAAGCCGTCCCTGAAACCTGCCGTCTGAGGAGTCTTTTCCGTGACTCAATGGCCCCGGGGACAAACGTCATGACGCTCCTGCCCCTCACTTTCTCATGGGTGTCTCGACTCAGCCTGGGGGGGGGGCTGCTGGGGTGGGGGCAGCAAAGGTCCCTCAGTCCTGCAGGGGGGACCCCGAAGTCTCAGAACCGACAGAACCATGGTGGGTGCTGGCCTTGCATGCGGCTGACCCAGCTTTCATTCCCGACACCCCCCTGACCCCCCAAAGCCCTCCAGGAGTGATCCCTGAGCACAGGTCTCGAGCACTGCCCGGTGTGGCCCAAACTTTCTTGCCTCTGGACAACCCTGAACACCCAAAAATCCCAGCGGGGAGACCAGAGCAGGAAGACTCTCTGGGCCTTCCACCGTGTTCCGCTGTGAACCCCAAAAAGCTCTAAAAATAAGGCCCATTGAAAACAAAACTTTTGGTGTGAGGACGGAAAGTTTGCAGGGGCCATGTGTGAACTTTCTCGACCGGGGTGGGTGAAGCGGACAGGAACCACGGGGCACACAGGGGAGGAGGCCACAGGAGTCGATGTCCCAGCCCATTGGGTGGGTCACGGTCCAGCTGCCCCATTCACAAAGCATTTCCGCCCGGGTATTTATTGGGGCTTCACAAGAAAGCCCCCCATTGGAACATAAAAGTCCTAAAGCAGCGTGGTCACGGTTCGGAGGGGACATGCGTGACAGTGGGAGACCAGCCGGGGTGCTGGGCGGAGCGGGTTCTCACGCCAAGGGTCACCTGCCCGGGACGGGGTTGAGTGAGTGTCTGCCGGTGAGTTTCAGGCCTGGACTAGCTCAGGGCTCGCGGCCTCGGCCCAGCCCTGCCCCACTTCGTCCTGGCACTCAGAGGGCTCCGGAGACCTCTGGGCCTTTCCTGGAAAAGTCCAGGCTGGATCTACAGCCCAGAAAGCCCCTGACGGCAGAAGTTCCCCCTTTCCACTGCTAGCTCTCCGCCCGCCGGGCACGGCCCGATCCGGAAAAAGAAGGCTCATCCCGGCTACCCGCCTCCCCCAGTGGCCAGAGATTTGCTCCGTGCCCTGCCAGTGCCCCCGAGACAGACCCCCGACGGTGGCAGCCCCTGGCTCTGGGAAGCACAGCCGCGTCCCCTCGCAGCCCGGGAACTTTCTCTTCCAGGAAAGTGGCCCCTGGCGTGACCTGTCTGGGCCACGGATGTTTCCCGTGAGGTTTGGGGTTCTCACTTCCACTCTCTGTCCACTCCGCTTGTGTCCTGGCTTGCTGAGTGTGGGAGTCACGTCCCGGGACGGGGCCCCCAGCCCGGCCCACGCCCACCTGCCCTTCCCCAGATGGATGCCCGCGGGAAGGAGTCTTTTGGGGGTGGGGCGCTGGGACCCTGGTTACAGCCACTGCCTCAAGCCCCAGGAGTCAGGGGGTCCAGGCACCCCCGATCCCTTCCTGGTTGAGTGAGGCCAGTGAGCAGCTGCCCAAGGAAGGAGCGTTGGAGCCCCAGTCTCAGTGCCCACCCCCCAGCCCCATCCTCTTCATCCCAGGATGAAGCCTCGGCCCCCGTCGGCCGGGCTGGACCCCAGAGGAGGACCCACCTGAAGTGCTGCTCAGACCCCAGACCAGGGCGACGGACAGCAGCAGGTGCAAGGGTGAGGGCCGCCGCGGTGGGTCCATAGGCTGGCGGACGGAGCCCCGGGCTCCTTGCAGCCTGTCTCGCACGACTCGGCACCAGGAACCAGAAGCTTCCTGTGTCGCTGGGGCTTTTTTCTGGTTACCCTCGCGGGGCTCTTCCTGAGAAGTACAAGTCAGAGGGTCAGAGCCGGGAAGGAGCCACCCCTTTCTTGCCCCATCCCGGAGCCTGGGGGTGGCGGGGGTGGGTGGGGGGTGCGCCCTTGGGTGCTGGGGGGACCCCCAGAGGTGGGTTCCCGGGCACCAAGCTGAGCTTGCAGGGGGAAGGCTGGTGCAAAACCTCTGCGTTGTCCTTTCAGGGAACCCTCCCCCGCTGCACGTGGCCAGGGCTGGGGTCCCAGCCCTGAAAGGGAGGAGGAGACCGGGGGTGGGGGGACAATTTCCCCTGCTCATGTAGGGGCTGTGTTAGGGGGAGACTTTAGATTTTCTCATGAGGTGAGCTTAGCAGGACGCCCCCTCCTCCTGCCGGCCTCCCCCTCCCCCGAGAGCTTGGCAAATGCCACCAAACCAATTCTGCCCAGGCTGGGGTCTCCGAGGGCACCACACGACTGGCAACTTGCCCTTTGACCTCTCCACCCTGTTCCCAGTCAACGTGGGGGGTGGGTGATGCTTTTGGACTCATGACTGGGGAGCACCATGAACCCAACCAGGACTGAATCACAACCCCTGGATTCTGTAAGAGTCAAAAAGACAGAGGGCAAGAGCAATGGGACAGCGAGGAGGGCGCCCCCTTGTAGGAGGCTGACCCGGGTTCAAATCCTCAGCACCCCACTGGGGCACCCCATATGGGACCAGGCACCGCCAGGAGTGATTCCTGAATGCAGGGCCGGGAGTCAGCGCTGAGCACCACCAGGTAGGACCCAAAACCCCAAACCCCAAAGCAAACAAACACCCCAAGAGCTAAGGTCCGAGAGTTCTTGGCTTCCTAACGGTGTCTTCACAGACGGGGCCTCAGCTCTGAGGATCCAACCGTGAATATGGGGGTGGGGAGCCCAAACACGGCCTCCGCCTACTCCCCTTCCCTGCTCCGTGTGCCGGGACATCACGCAGCCTCGGTTGGCCAGCGGGGGGCAGGGGCCCTTGGCACTGCGTTAACTGGCAGGTGGTACAAATCCGGGCTTCGATTTCTCATTTTGTTGATGACCTACAGGCAGGAACTCGATAGTAACAATGCATGTTAAGCTGAAGACGCTTCTGCCTTGGGTTGGAGGGAGGGTTCAATGGCCGAGTGCGTGAGACTGGGGTTCGATCCCCCGCACGTAGGGTCCCCCCGGACCGAACCATGATTACCGCCTTTATTCATGAACTATTGCAGGAAATGCTTTTTTCTTTTCTTTTTGGGTCACACCCGGCGATGCTCAGTGGTTACTCCTGCCTCTGCACTCGGAAATTATTCCTAGCAGTGCTCGGGGGACCCTATGGGATGCTGGGGATCGAACCCGGGTCGGCCGCGTGCAAGGCAAACGCCCTCCCCGCTGTGCTGTCATTCCAGACCCAGAAATAAATAGTTTTATTTTCAGCTTTGGGATTTTCCCTTCCCCTCACCACCCTCTGTGGGTTACTGTAAAGCTCTCCTGGCAGTGCTCAGGGCTCCGTGTGGCACTGGGGATTGAGTCTGGGTCTCCCACATGTACAGCCAGCACTTGGGGGGGAAAGACACCCCAAAACAGCCTACCCTTGTCTAATGAACAGTTGGTTTATAATTTCGGTTTTGGGGTCCCAGCCGGCTCTGCTCAGGGCTAAATCCTGGCTCTGCACTCAGGAATCACTCCTGACAGTGCTCGGGGGACCCTATGGGATGCCGGGGATTGAACCCGGGTCGGCCGCGTGCCAGCCCAACGCCCTCCCCACTGTGCTATTGCTCCAGCCCCAGAAAATGCTTTCGTGGTATTTAAAAAACTCTCATGCTTTGGGACTAGAGAGATAGTGAAACAGGAGGAAGCTTGCTTGCCTAACGCATGACCAATCTGGGTTCGATTCCCGGCACCCGTTATCATCCCTGAGCCCGCCAGGAGTAATTTCTGAGCACAGGGCTAGGAGTAAACCCCAAGCATCGCTAATGTGACCCCAAAGCCAAAAAAAAAAAAAACCAAGAACCCAAACAGTGTTGGGTTTGTAAAAAGCCACAGAACTCCTGAGCAAGTAAGTTTGTGCTTGAGTCGCAATGTTCCTCTTTTTATTTTTAATTTATTTTTTTTTGTTTTGCTTTTCTTTTTTTTGGGGGGGGGGTCACACCCGGCGATGCTCAGGGATTCCTCCTGGCTCTGTACTCAGGAATGACTCCTGGCGGTGCTTGGGGGACCATATGGGATTCTGGGAATTGAACCCGGGTCGGCTGCGTGCAAGGCAAACGCCCTCCCTGCTGTGCTATCGCTCCAGTCAACTTTTTTTTTTCGTAATTTGTATTTATTTTAAAATTTTTATTAGTGAAACACCATGAGGTACAGTTGTAGACTTACAAATTTTTGTGCTTGGGTTTCAGTTATACAATGATCGAGTACCCATCCCTCCACCAGTGCCCATTTTCCACCACCACGGGTCCCAGTATCCCTCCCACCCCCCATCCCCCCATCCCACCCTGCCTCTGTGGCAGGACATTCCCTTTTGTTCTCTCTCTCCTTTTAGGTTCCAGCCCACTTTCTAATTGAATTTTTTTTTTGCTTTTTTGGGTCACACCCAGCGATGCACAGGGGTTACTCCTGGCTCTGCACTCAGGAGTTACCCCTGGCGGTGCTCAGGGGACCATATGGGATGCTGGAAATCGAACCCGGGTTGGCTGCGTGCAAGGCAAACGCCCTCCCCACTGTGCTATCGCTCCAGCCCCATTAATTTTTTTTTTATCGAATCACCGTGAGATGCAGTTACAAAGCTTTCATGATTGAGCTCCAGTCATACAATGATCAAACACCCATCCCTCCACCAGTGCCCATTCCTCACCACCAATGTCCCCAGTATCTCTCCTGCCACCCGACCCCACCCACCTCCTGCCTCTATGGCAGACACTTTTCCTTTCACTCTCTCTACTTTGGGGCACTATGGTTTGCAAGACAGGCACTGAGAGGCCATCATGTTCGGTACTTTGTCTACTTTCAGCATGCATCTCCTGTCCCGAGCGAGCCCTCCAAGCATTTCAGGGCTCCTCTTTGTCTCATGTTCAAGTGCTCGGCTGCAGGCCGGGGAGGTGCCTCAGAGGGCAGAATGTGTCTGGCTTGTGAGAGGGCCGGTTCCATCCCTGGCACCTCGAGGCACAGTTAGGAGTATGCCGTATGCCTCTTTCCAGCTGCCAGGCGGCCAGCAGGCACGTGTGGGGTGAGGGTCTCAGCATACGGGGAAAAAACAGCATCACCGGACCCGACCACCTGCAAAACTGCCCTCCGGGGGCAGAGGAAGAGTAAGGAAGTGCTTTGCTGCCCGCACTTGTAGCTGGCAAGGCTCACTAAATATAGGTCAGGGAGCAGATAGCATCAGAGAAGGGGGGCGGGGTGGGGGGTGACGGTTCTACCGGCCTGCGAGGGAACAGTGAACAGGAGCAGCTGGAGGGGTCTTGGGGCGGCACAGCTGAGGTGAGCGGGGGTGGGTGGGCACCTGCGGTTAGGGCCAGGAGACAGGTGCCAGCCTTGCACGCGGCCCAGCTCAAGTTCCACCTCCCAACACTCCACAGGGTGCATCCCCGCCATCCTCCCCCACCCTGCCCAGCCCTGCCAGGAAGGGTCCCTGAGCACGGAGCCAGGAGGCAGCCCTGGAGCATGGGTGTGGACCACTTAAATCACTTAATCACTTAACTTCCCGTTAGTCGTCGATTTGCTCGAGCGGGCGCCAGTAACGTCTCCATTTGTCCCTGTCGCGTGCTAGTGTAGCCCAATGGCATCTCTTCGCTCCGGGAACATGGAGGGCCTCAAACCGATCGTTCATGACCTTGACAAAGAAGTCTGACCATCTGGTAGGTGGGCGGCCACGCGGTCTCTTGACATCCCGTGGAATCCAATCAGTAACAGCTCTAGTCCAACGGTCGTCTTTAAATCTCATTACGTGACCAGCCCATCTGATTTTCGACACCTTGGCAAATGAGACAGCGTCCCTGATCCTTGATCGTCGACGGATGTCAGAACTCCGGATTCGTTCTCTCATTTGAGTGAAACGTGATATTCCAAGCATAGCTCTTTCTATTCTTCTTTGGGAGACCTGAATGGCGTTCTCATCTTGTTTGCGTAGGGCCCAGGTCTCTGAGGCATATGTTAATGCAGGAAGAACAGTGGAATCAAAGAATCTCCCTTCCGAAATCTGACACGCCATTTCGTCAGTAAAGAAGCAAACAGCACCCGGCCCAGACAAGGTCAGACCTGAACACCTGAAGAACCTGCCGTCAGTACTCATCAATACACTGGCTCGGCTCTTCACTCGCTACCTGTCTGAATGCAAGGTTCCATCTCAATGGAAAACCAGCAGGACCATACTACTGTTCAAGAAGGGAGACATCCATGACATTGGCAACTATCGCCCAATCTGCCTATTGTCTGTCATCTACAAGTTGTTCACTCGAGTCATCCTGAATAGGATTGGCAGAACACTAGATGAAGGACAACCATGTGAGCAAGCAGGGTTCCGCAAAGGATTCAGCACCATCGACCATATCCACACGATAACCAAACTCATTGAGGTTTCTCGGGAGTTCAAGATGCCGCTCTGCTTAACGTTCATTGATTTAAAGAAGGCCTTTGATTCTGTTGAGACGGAAGCGGTCATTGAAGCCCTAGCCAATCAGGGCATTCAAGCCCAATACATCAGGATCCTCCGTGAGCTGTATTGCGGATTCACTACCAGGATCTCACCATTCTACAAAGAAGTGATCGTTGATGTCAAGAGAGGGGTGCGGCAGGGTGATACCATTTCACCAAAACTCTTCAGTGCCACCCTCGAGAACATCATGCGACGACTGGAATGGGAAGGAATGGGAGTGAAGATAGATGGTCGGCAACTACACCACC